AGGATGAAAACTAGAACCATTTTAAATGCGTTTCATTAGGGTCAATGTAGAAATCGAGCAAAATATATTGTTCCTATGCGTGCGTTTGGTTTTCTCCAAAAACTTGTCCTCCTCAAAGAGATACCGGAAGCTCGGAAGCTTTAAGAAAAAGATCGTACTTATGCTTGAATCAAGTTTTAGAAAGAACAAGAATATTGCATTTGTTACCTGAATGCTACACTGAACGCAGAGCTGGAAACAAGCTGTTCATAGAGAAATCTGTGTCGAAATGTTTGCCTTGACATGCATGCTAATTTTCTGATGATGCTGTTAATGATACTGCAAACTAATAAGTGTTGTTTCGTTTTCCCAGTTTCTTTTGCTGGGTTGTATGCAGTTATTGTATACTTTGTTGAAAATCGTATTGTATAAAGTTGATTAAATTTTCCTTACTGAAGCTTCTTACGCGTACTCAAGTCGTGTAGTTTTTGGAAGAAGCTGGCTTCATTGTAAAGTTGCTGGGTTTTGTTTGTCGTAATTTCAATGCCTCGTTTCTGTTTTAGCGCATGCTAGTAGATGAGGCTGATTTTAACCTGTCATCGCTGAACTCCTTGACCATTGCGAACAAGAACTTGCGGAGATCGTCCGCTGAAACACCTCCGCCACCGCCCAGGAGTGGATACGGAAAGCGAAAGGCGGGGCCGTTGTCTCGCGACATCCATTTTCTTCCTAAGCGCAGACGAGAGGACGTACCATCTTCTCAGCCAGATGACGATCGTCCTCGTCTACTAGAGCGACATCCGTCGCTGCCTTGCAATTCACTTCACAAGCAGACAGAGAATGCAAACGGTTTGATTTTACCTTTGTATCTTTTTCGCCCTTTTCTTACTTTAGCCATGACATACGTTTTTCATGCTCTGTTTCCCACGCGTAGACATTTTGGTTGTGCAGTAAAGTCTTCGTACTACATGCCTTATGTTAGGAATTTTTCCCGTCAAATCTTGAAAAGTTTTTTGATCGAAATACAAATATGGTGCCGAAATGAAAGCAAATGATTAGACAGTTAAGCATTGCATTTTTACTCCTAGGTAAAATAAGCCAGTAGATACTAAAGGAATAATTTCTAAAACTGACTGTGAGTATCAATTATTGCCTACTTATCCTTGAGTGTGATTTCTGTATTTTTGTTGGGATCTCTAGGGCCGTTTTTTCAATCACATCTTTTCAAATTTCCGTGTCTGCGACATGCAGATTGAAATCGCCCATTAGAATGATAAGTTCCATAGTCTGCACTTAATTGCCTTCTACTTTCTCCAGCAAGAACTTACATCTTACTCCAAATTTGGCGCATAAGCCTGTAACATGGTCAGCGTTAGAGCCTGTCATAACGTCATATTTCAGCCTAGTGACTGCCACTCTTCCGCTTACAGGCTTCCATTCAATTATTCTTTCAGGCAGGTTGTGTTCTTCCAGAACACCAACTTTGGTCTGGGCGTGTGTCATGCACTCAACAGCTAAACAGAATATCTTCCACCCATGGAGTTTGAGAATCCCGTTTCCCTGGCACATTGTTGACGAAACTCGAACTACATCCAGACGGTACGTTGCTGCTTGATCAACAAGCTCTTGCTCTTTCTTTCTGAATGAGGAGATATTTCAATATCCGACTATAAGCTCCCACTGGCAATTTCGTCCCCGCGGAGCTTTTTCTGAAGTGCCATTATGGCATCGCGCTGTCTGCCTCCTCCTTTCAGGATGGGTAGTGGCTCGGTTGCTGACTGGTACCTTCGTCATCTTTTTGTGGATCTTCGGCTGCCGTCACCATGCTGCTGCGCCCCCAGAAGTTCACCCTGCTCACACCGCTAGAAGGTGAGAAACAGGTTCTGATCACGGACTTTTCGCAACCTGCGCAGCCCTTGGTAACCCGAGTGATGACCGAGCCGGTATAACGGTTAGATAACGGCGATACATGAGGCAGGTGACTTAGTTTTACGGAAGACCTCGCCACAGTCCCCAACCTTTCTCCTTTGTCATCCGGGCTTGGAGCTGGCAAGCGGGGTTACTTTCTATAGGAAGCGAATGGCTTTTTGTTTTCAATCGCGCCCTTAAGCCATTTATGTGAATTATTTTCGTTGAAAATTTCGTATATATCCCACAGTTGGATTTCTTCTTTCTCCTGCACCGTGCAATTGTAATGTAAATTGAATTTTCTTATATGCTTACCCATGTTCAAATTGGCGACTGAATCTCTGGCTTTCAGATTTATATAACAAATTGTTCAAACTGAAAACCAACATAGCGGCACTAAGTAGTTATGACGTTCAAGCGTTGTCAAGTTTACAGTTTTCTACGTCGTGCAGGACGGGCAGTGACTATCTTATGGGGATCGAGTCTAGAGCGAAGAAACACCGTTTTCTCTTTAGTCATTACGATGACTCTGACAGCATGTTATGAATCTTGAATGGGTAGTTAACGAACCAAGACATTTCAGATTTTCTTATGCCTATAAGGCAGTTCTTTATATGACGCTAATGTCCCACCTACGAGCCTAGTGCTGTATTTCTAATTATGTGATATAGTGTGAATTTATGATGAACCACGTTTTGTTCAATCGGATACATTACGAAACATTTCCTACTAGTTTAGCGACACTTTGGAAATAAATCTTTGGACTAAGTTTTTGTTTATCCCAGATTACCGCTAACTTTTTAATGCCCATTGCTGATAGTGAATTTGAAAAGAAATACTTTTGCATAACTTTTTCTTGCATGTGCTGCAACAAAAAGTACGAAGCCGTAAATTTCGGTGAAAGTAACAAATGATTTGATTGTTTTTTCCCGCTAGTATCGAAACTGCGTCTACTGTTATCTTA